CACCTAGAATGTAACGGGGTTACACGTACCCTTGTAACAGGAGTGTGTGTCACACGAGATGTGCATGGTATGACTGTTCCCAAACAAGAATACGGTATGTGGCTAGGTAGCCAGTAGTTAGTTATGCATGTATTAAGATTTTGAAATAGTACATTTAAGAAAATCCAAACTTTTAAAATTAAGATAAAATGCAAATAAAAATCAGTTTTGGATTTTAAACGGAAGAGCTAATTAGCCTCGGGTAAGGTGATAATTACTCTTGGAGTAAGCGGATTGCGATCCGCCAACTTCATGTAAAGAACGAAAGGTCGGTGACCCAAAGTACGCTTCCTCAAGCGCTAAGCTACGGCAGCCCCGCTGCACAGAAGCTGAACCAGCAACTGGGTTTGAGCACGGAGTACATCGATTTCCAATTCTAATGACGCAAGGCGCTCCATCGTCGCACGGAGTGACGCATTCCTCTGCTCGACGGCTAGGATCCGCTCCGACAGAGTGCGATAATCCTCAACGTGAGGCAGTCAGTGCTCAAAGTGCTCGAAGCTCTCGAGGCCTTTCGCACAGCAGTATGCGGAATCAACTTGATGCTCAGCGGAGCCCCGATGGCGACGAACCTTGTCCTCAAGAGCTCGAAGAGCATCGCGAGTCACCGGACGGCAATAGACCAAATCGTCATTGCCCACCGCCGACTCTTCTCGACGAGAACGGTGGCGTCTACTATCACGTGAAACCCTTGTTGGTCGACCTCGTCGACATGGTCAAACCCAGAATGTTGTGAAGTGGCGAAGATTCCCAGATTCCGAGAGCTCCTGGAAGTATGAGGTACCACTTCGGCAAGACTGCCCAGACGTCGTTGTCGCTTATGATCAATAGGATCATGACGCTCCACGTCGTCGTACGCCCCGCGCTTCTCGGAAGAAGCCCGGGCAGCCGAAGGGCAATGAGCTGAGCTCATGCTATCGTCCTGAGCTGCTGTGGTCGTAGAATTACCCATGTGAGAGACCACAGAGCTCGTGGGACCGTGATTAGTTAATTCATATGTGCAGGACAAGAAGAAAGCCGGAGTTGCGCCTTGAGTTTGGCAAACTCAAACCGAAGATGGAGTTCCACGCGCAAATTTACCCCCCTGTGGCTCAACTGTAAGTATAGACAGCAGGGAACGTTTCCGGTGCCACTGTCCCATCGCTCAAAGAGCTCTTCATCATCTGCAGCGCTTTCGCCAGGGGCGAGCACCACAGGAATCGTCCGCATCAAGCGTACAAGAGCACCCCCGCTTTCTGCGCGAAGTCGAGCACGTACCTATCCATTGGGATTTCTTGAGGTGTCAAGAAGCTAGCTCGGAAAGGTTTTTGTTTGGTCAAGCTCATCTTGTTAATGACCGGGGGGTCGACTACGTTGACGCCCAAAGATCGACTGATTGCGTCCTTCGTTTCAGTAGCGGAATCCGCCAGCGAAAGCCGTACTCCACACGAGGGTCTAGAATCGACTGTTAATGCGAGCGCATGAAGGCCGACGTGTGGGCAGCCTCGTCGAGGTGATTGATAATCATATGACATTCTTCGGAAGTCGAGGGGTATGGGAACGGACACAGAGTCCGTAAGGTTTAAGCAGGGCTCACGTCGCGACGCTGGTGCACCTCACCCTCCTCTTTGTCCCATCCTGGGAAAGGAGTATCCGACTTGTTGTCGACTTTCACCTAATCCTCAACGAGGTAACCCGTCACCCGTGGCGGGTGCAACGATTGCCCAGGGTGTGATGTCCTAAGTTGCACCGTGTGCAGGAATAAAAGAAGGGCTCTGCCCGCGGGAGCTCTCGGAACCAGCAAGGCAAGGTGTGTTTCGTGCCTTAGACACAGGGCTCATTGAGCAGAGGATGCGTGAAGAAGGTCTTGGGGACGTAGAGATGCATCTCCATACGGTTTTGTTGGCACCTTTGCCCACCCTCCGCCTTTATCGCTTCAATAATAAAAGAAAAGCCACCTTTCGTAACGCTCTTTTAGCCACTGACTTTGCTGATTTGGCTGGAAGCTATACTAGCGCTATCATGGCGATGGGCGTGGCTGTTACTCGCAAGAGCTGAAGGTGGGTTTTGCGAAGTCAAGCTTGGACTAACGTTTTATGGACGTCCGCTTCACTACAGCTGTATTACAATGTTTCTAGCCGGGTGAAATGACACGTGTGCATTATCCAATATGTCAATGAGTACGACCCCCTTCGACAGTCGCGCCATAATAAAGTTCCCAAACTAGATACATCACAGAGAATTTGGTTTCTCAAAACTGCTGCTGCCCTAAACGCATGTGGTATTCCAACGGCGTCATGACATGTGGGATCAGAATGCGCTCGAAAAGCAGCTTTTTACGGCCTTGATTCTCTAGATCTGAGCGGATGACCCGCGCGCATATACGTCAAAGGACTCAATTTCAGCGTGGCGAGCAACTTTTGATGGCAAAAAACATAGTAACGGCGTGGTAAATTCAGCAAATTGTTAGTGCTTCTCTTGCTTTTGCAGACAAGCAGCTGAGCATCTTGAGCTAAGTCCGGCGCTATTGACGACAAGCTGGGCCCACGATCGGATGAAACAATATCCCTTGTCATTACGTAAAGGCATGGAGCGGTTATTTTCTGCAGAGGGTCCTTCTCAATATACAGGATGACTTTATATCTCAGATGAGGGCAGAGGTGCTGCGTCGAGACTTGGAGAGTAGCTTCGACCGGTCTCAATCGAAGGGCTTGGTAGTGGGAACCGTCTCGTTGCATTGCCGAGCCGTGTCATAACTCAAGGGAGAGGATTTTTGATGCGAACTCAAATCCTTAGGGCAGGCACGGTAGATTACAAAGAGCGGGGTGAAGTTCACAGTAGTTGGCAGGAGTTGAGCGTTCGCTTTTGTGCGATGCCTTGAAAAGACTAAATAGTGGGCCCAAGCGTGGGCTACGTCTTGTGGGGGATAGTACGTACTGTATTATTGTGTATGTACAACATGCACTTCTGCACGATTATACAAATTACAACATTGAACAACGTCACATTACACTTTTTAATGATTGTTAATTTCAGGTATGCCAAAATAATAGTAATAAGGAAGTCGCTTTCAAAGCAGCGGAGAAATATTATCTTCAGAGGGTCTCGATGTGAAGCGTACGGACCCTTTCGTACCTCTGAGCATTTCTTGACGCGGACTATTTGAGTAAAAGCTTCTGCGCGGTAAATCCGTTACAGGAGGGTGGGATGTGGGCTGCTGGACAGCTAGATTCACGACAAACAATACAGAAAGTTTATTATTGTATACATTATAAAGCACATATTTATTATTAGTTTATACAAACATAGCCCCAACGTTTGTCACTTTAAAATTGGAGAAGCAATATGAGTGTTCAGATAGTAGAGGCTTTCAGCTCCGCTAATGGGTAGATAAAACCTCTATGCGCTTGAGTCAAATCTTCCTCTGTGTAGGGTGCACGACACACCCGTTGCAGGCCGTAAAAGATATTGCCTCCCTTTCTTAATTCGAATCGACTTCCTAGTCCCACGAGCTTAAACTTAACACCTATGACATTTTTGTCTTTCAAATGTAATGGTCGAACGCCTTAGAGCGTTTGATCTGCTCGGCGAACATAACACAACCTAAGTTCTGTAGGGCAGTGCTGACTCATTGTATAGGTGAATTATTTGTTAGAGTTAGACTGTGTACAAACCATGTAAATTTATGAGTGCTCAAAAGGTGCTGTACTACTATGTGCAGCAAACTTTGCTGAAATTTGGTGAGAGTATACAAATATATGATCTTAAGGCTTCTCAAATTTGCGTAGAAGTAATGTATCACTTTCCGTTGGATATAAGAAAAGCGTCGATTGACAACACATAATGTTTCCAACACTGCTCTATCTCGCTGCAAAAGGCTCATGTATTAGAAGTATCAACGAAATCAGCTAGCATCTCAGCCGACATCTCATGTACCTTAGCACTGTCCTTACGCCTTGTAAGGGTCGCATTGCTTGCCAGTGATTTTACGATATCAATTCTTGCGAGCAAGTGTATAAACACACAAAGCTCATATATCTTTGTCTCTGATATATTTGTCCTTGCTTTTCTCAAGTTCTCAGCTCAGACGCTGGAGACTTATCATGCATTTGCCGCTTTAGTTGCGTTGTGCACTAATCAGAAGGGTTGGTATAATAAAAATTTGAAGGTGACTTTGAAGTGACGTGAAAGCCTTGCTGAGCTCTAAAGTAACCTCAGATGAGTTACAATGTGAAAATGAGGTCGTATTCTTCCATGCTGCAGAGTCTTTTCTTCCGGCAGCGTTTTAAATTAAAAATTCGACTATTTTGAGCAATAGTACTCAGCCAAGTATTTTTATTGCTAGTACTGGCTTTGTAACCTGTATGCATTTTGGGTACTGTGCTTTGTTTTCGCTTCAATAAGCCGACGCGGCTGTATAGCGGCCGTATGCTGATGATAGAGGACTCACAGAGCTTACACATATACATCTGCCCCCCTCTCGAATAAAAGTTTTTGATGTGCGGCTGGAAGCATTTTAATTGGCCTTTCTGCGCGAGAAGCAGTATGTTGCGTTGTGATGGTCATGATCAGCGGATCCACAAGCCCCCAGTCTGGATCGCAGATATGCAGACATAAAGCATTACCATGGGGTTTGGTGACTTTGTCAGGGTGAGGTGTGATAGAAGACCCGTAGACTTATCAATCACTCAGTCATAGACCTTGTGTTTTAGAGTAAATGAGAAAATGAAAAACCACGTTACGATCATGTTGTAGGGGGTGCAGAAAAAAAACTGCAGCTTAATCCGTCTTTATTTACTGAAGTCTGAATCGCGATCAGGGCAGTCCGTCCATTATCTTTTCGGCGACTTCACGTGCCAAGTTCAAGTTGCTCGCAGCGGCTGCGCCTTCTCGTTGCCAGCGTCTCTACCTCCTTCTTTTTCGTTACCCTGCCCCATTCAGGGACTGTATCACAAACAAACACAAGGTACAACGGTGCAAACATGGTCATTCAGAACGTCTTAGCCGCGACGCCGCAGCGAGTGCTTCACACATCCATCGCCCACTTTACAAAACCTGCAGCCTCTGGTGCGCATGTGTTCACACAATATCTCGTGCGAGTCTCAGACGAGCGCTCCCCCAATCTTAACTGGACAGTTTATCGACGCTACTCAGAATTTCGTAACTTAAAGCTCGCAGTGGAGGAAGCTGTCAAGCGCGGTGACATGTGCAATCATTGTGCCATTATGTCCAGGCGCACGTGTTTTGTTCTCTTTCCCCACCGCCGGATTTTTAATAACATGAATGTTAAGATCCTTGAGGCGCGACGCATTGGACTTAATGTTTTTCTTGACGCCGTCGCCAAGCACGCACGCACTTGTCGAGAAAGCATGACGTGTCAGACGCGACCATTGATGGACAAGTTCCTAATGGTGAACGACATGCGCTACACATATTTGAATATCAACATAAGTGAGACTAGAGGAGACGACGAACGCAGGAAGAACTCTGTAAGCGAAAAGCACGCGACGATGACTGGTGTCCCGCATCGTTCTGTTTCGGTAAGTAGCACTGATCGTCTAAGCAGATACTCAGACTACCGCGAAGAAGGTGTGCGGAGTTGCACAGAAGAATGGACACACACCAACTATGACGGGCTGGCACAGTCGACCGATCCAACGGTAGATCAGTCGCTAAAAGAGTCTTACATACAGGAAAGTACACAGCTGGGCTTCCACCTTTGCCAGGAAGAGAGTGGAGTGGTGGTGAAACGTAGTACAGTGCCTCATATTCTAGCCTACACGAATAGCCGGTGCTATAGTAACAGCTCGTGGATCGATAATAACTCGTCTCGGCTTAGCCTCACCTTCGAATGTGTAGGCTCAGCTTACAAGCCACCCTCCAACACATCCACATCCACATCCCGTCATTCAGACCCTGGTCTTGCTCGAAATGAGTTGCTTAATTTCTCACGTGGTAGTTTTTCAGGCGGTGGCCGCCAGCACCACGCTGAAAGCCGCCCACGCCCACGCTCGCGCAAGGTATATTTATCATCGGCTGCTAAACGCGTGAAAAAGCTAGAAGAAGCAGAGGCGCGCTTTTCTTTGCAGGCTCAAATCCGAAAGCCTAAGTGCCTCCCTCGTCTATCAACCATACCCGAATAGAAACCTTTGTAGCTGCGTCTTGCCTTTGTCTGTAATGCTGTCTGTCGACCGCAGGCACTGATGGTTTTGCTTACTATGATTCATTGCTATTAATAAATACCTCTCAAAATATGTGTATTAATGTGCTTATATCATAAATGCGTAGAGCCTAATTGAAGCGAGATCTGAGGTCGATGAGTTAACGTACTCGAAGTGGGGCTTTAAGTTAAAGTCAAGGCACTGCGTCAAATCTTTGGGATATAAGAAGAGCTGGCACGCGAGGGTTGCCCCGATTAAAAAGCAAGGTCCAGGAAATAAAGTCGTAAACAAAATTGTTCAAGGGCTGCGTCGTGGCACGTCGAGCGGCTTTCGTCAATCACTCCAATTAGAGGCATGCCACTGTATAGCTTGTCGCTAATGGCCTCTGACCTGTTTACAATGTAAGCGCTCGCATTATGTAATACTGCAAACATAGTAATTCTTCTAAACGACGCTAGAAGTGTACTGTATCAAGGGAATTTTTTATCTGTATGATGTGAAATCTACATGATGAACACCGAATGCACTTTATGTGGCGACAATTATCCGGTGATCACCCGAACACCGCCGAGTGACGCGATAGTGTGCGCAAAGTTGTGATTGGGCTGCTTAATAAAGATAAGGTTCTTAGGCTGGTTGTACTTGCGCGAGACCCACTCAATCATGGCGGGGCCGAACGGACCTTCAACACTTATAAAGTTGAGCTTGATTTTAAGATACACATGGTTGAACATTGAGACCGTCTCTTTAAAGCCTTCGGGAACAGCCGTACCGCGAGGATGGCAGTGCACAATGAACAGCGTATGCGTCTGCTCGTTATTGCGCACATACAAAATAGCCTTGTTAATAACATTAAGATTGGGCGTCTTGCAGAAAAAGAAAATAGCCGGCTCGTTGATCTCACGAATGACTCGAGCAATAGTCTGACCGCCACGCGCACCAGTGCGTAGCGAGTGAGTCTCGTTCTCATCATCATTACGTTGCGATGGGCATAATTGTCGCATACAATATAGACACATTCGTAGCAAAAATGTGCGCTCAAACATGATATACACTAGCGACAACACGGCAATGAAGTATAGCGCGAAGTATGTTAATATCGTAGGATCGCCTAGCAGGTTACCCATGAACGTAGTCACAACCAACGACACACCTAGTATACAGCTCCACCAGGGTGCAATCACCGTGCGCGGAATCTCAGCGCGCTTGTACTTTAATAGCATGCAGCCAGTACCAAATAGCGTCATGAGGCCCAAGAAAGCGAACGTGTATACACCCGATAAAGTCTCTGTATCACCATACAAAATCAAAACCAAACTCGTAGCCACCAAAAAGTAGCCGACAATAATAAAGTGGTTTGTTCCACGCGCTTTGTTGACTTGGAGCAAAAACTCCGGTACCACGCGATCGCTAGCAAGCCGACGCATAAGACCAACAACGCCGACGTATGCCGTTAAGACAGCACCTGAAAGTACGACGAATGCATCTAACGCCACGATAAGCTGCATTCTTTCGCCTGCCACTTTCAGTCCCATTTCAGCCAATACAGTGTCTTTCTTATCGATGATACCGCCAGGGCCGTTCAGCGGTAAAACACCAAGGGAAAGCAAGGAGATCATCGGGTTGAAAATAGCGACACCCCACCACATATTCTAATCGGCAATTTGAAAGTCGGGTTAGCTTCCTTTGACTTTACAGAGCAATAAAACGTACCCGTAATGTCTTTGGAAAGACTCCTTCTGCCTGCTCCTCCACAAACTGCGAAGACGTTTCAAAGCCCGAGATACCAAGCATAGCAGTTGACGTACCAAAGAAGATGGCTGTCAGAAAGTTGCCTGGGATGATGTCGCCAGCTAGGTTGATGTCTGGAAAGGTCGTATCAAAGTTCGCCTGCAAAGTCCGAAAGTCATCTTTAATGACGTAGATTGCAGAGAGCACGCAAAGCACAGTTAGCGTCATGGAATGAGTCATAAAAATCACAAGTGCCACGATCGCACTCTCCGTGATGCCGATCAGACTTAAAATTGAAAAGAGAAACAGAAGTCCGATAGTAGCCGGTACGATCTGAAGTGACGGTACATGTGCTGCCAAGTAGTTGCAGGCCGACGTTCCGGAGACCACTCCAGTAGCAATGTACGACAAGATTGCAAGCGATGCAGCCATGGCAGCCAGGCGCTTTGACGTGGTGTTAAGGAGAACATTGTACGAGCCTCCATTAAGCGGCACGGCATTTAGTACTTCACCATAAATGAAACGATATAGATACAAGATGCCAGCCACGACAGCAAGAGCTAAAGGTGCCAGTTTGCCAGCCTTAGAGGCCACGAGCCCCGACACATACAGACAGCTAGACAAAATATCGTTACCGCAAATTGCAGTCGCTAGCCACTCTGATAGCTTCGGGTGGTCCATGGAGAGATGCGCCTGAATTTCATTTAGCTCGCTGTCACTTGCCACCGCTGATGAATTGTTGCCCCAGCCGGCAAACTCCCAGCCTTTAAGCGCATTGTTGTCTTTATTCACACGCAACATCAGCGGACTGATTGGCGGGGAGCCAACTCCACTGTCAATCCGAATGTTGCTTGGAATTGACCCATAACTGGATGTGTTTTTTTTCTCGGCCATAATTCGGCGCCAAAAGCCACAAGAACAGCGAGTTGCGAGCTTTTTGGAGATCAGGTTGTGAACTGCTGAGACGAAATCTTTGGAGAATCGAATGAATATCGTATAAGACAGGTGAAATCTACGTCTTGTTTATAAGCTATCCAATCACCATGATCAATTATTGAGTGTAACCGGATAAAACGCACAAGTTACAAAAGAAAGGTATGCTTTTAATACACATCGCTCAAAATTAGCGCTTCTACAGATCGTTCAGCTGCTTAACATTGTTACGCAAAAGACTTTCGTCTGCACCAGAAAACTGATTGCAGCCAAAAAGATTTGAGTCAAGAGTCTAGATATAACTAACCGATATGATCGTACCGAGAGAGATTGCTGGAACCTGCCATCATTGAAGCAAAAAAACGTGGGCATTGACTGCCGACAATCATGAAGTTTTAGCAAAAGACCGATTGAATCTGTGAGCTCTAAAACCCGTTAATACTCACGCGCACGCCGGCTTTGGAGGTGGTGTCGTTTAGCGCATCGACGTCTATCTTAGCAAAGTCAATGTCATTGTACATGGCACTGCCCCATCATAATACGACCCTTCTGTTTGTATTCTATCCTGAGCAAAACACCCTTTTAAGTCTCAAACCTCAGCTCATCGTAGATAGGGCCAATCATCTTGCATGGTGGACACCAATTGGCAGTGAAGTAAACAATCGCCTTGCGTCCCGTTCCTTCCTACAAATACATATATAATCAAATGAAACGATTAGATCAAATGAGACAGCACAGCCAGCATCCACGCGCACCGTGATTATTTGCGAGTATGCCTCGTCCGACCCAATTATCTTTACACGGCTACGCACGCTGGTTGAGAAGGCGCGACTGCCATAAAGACGTGCTGCTAACATAACCCGTGATGTGTACATATCTTGAAATAAAACCAATGGCACACTGGTACAATTTCAAGTATCAAACCGAGTTGTACCAGTACCAGAGTGATGTAAGTCTGCTTTTTAATACACAGTAACGTTTTGGATGTGATTAGATCAAGATACTTTGTTTTGGTCTGCGCCAAGATGTGATGACTTGATTTCAGCCAACACAAGCAGTAGATGAGGCTTGTAGCCTCTAAGCTTGCGTAAAGACCTGTAACTAGTCGCTACATAGCACCTAGCGTAAGGCGAACTTCCTAGCTGCATTTAGCGGACCTTGACCTTAGGAGACACTAATGTATCCGTAAGCCTTGGACCGGCCAGTGAAAAGTTCGTGACCACCGTCCCGAGAGGTCAAATATTACTTTATGATTGCAATGGCGTTGTCGTGCACTTTGTACAGAGAGAGTAACTTTGCTTTTGCTGACGCAAATAGGGCGATTGCATGCGCACCGATCAGGTGCATTTTGAATAAAGTCCCATAAGGCACAGCACGACCCATTACTCACATCCATAACAAGTGCTAATCAGGATACCTTATTATAGGACCTCACTTTAGTATTTCAATCTGGTCTTTGCTCTAAGCCCAAAAAATAATTGTTCAATGTGTTCGTACAACCTAAAAATATGTACCCCCGCTGCTGCTGAAAGGAAACCCCATTAGGGTCGCAATAATTTTGTCTTATTACGAGGCATTGCGCACATCGTGAAAATTGCGAGCACCAACTGCGCCAGAAGTTCCTCCCCCTCGCTTAACTTACTGGTATCAGCGAAGGATCCGTATTGCCGGGAAATTCTCTCAGCACAACTTGCTGAAGAATTGGCACATTGTGGTGACAAGATCCCCACTACGAGTGTTGCCTTTTGATCGTAAAGTACATCGTAAATTTGACTTGTTTACCGGATCCAAATGGTGCGTCAATCGTCAAAAGTCAATGATATTAACCAAGCGAACAGTGTGACGTCGAAGACAATTCATTCTGTGCATAGCATCATGCGTGAGCCTCTCTCACAGAGAATTTTAGCTCCGTTTGGAGCTAAAATTCTCTGTGTTAGGCTAATATCAAGTGGCAAATTGCGCATGCATAGAAAAGACTAAAAATATTACGGGGACGGCGCAGAGACCAATTATCTAGAAAGGATGTGCTGCAGAACTGCATGGTTGGCTGAGCTTTGTTCTGTGCCATCGACCTGATTAACTGATACTTTTGTCATGAGATAAGCTTAAATGATTTCATTCACTGCTGTGAGTGTTCGAGCGGGGTGCTCTATGATTGGCTGGTTATGCCACTTTAACTGTCAGTCGCACCGGAGGCATTTAATTGGGCTAGTCGGGCAACATCGTTGCTATACACAAACATAATTTTGACAATATATTCGGCATGGTCGTGCAAACCACGGGGATTCGGATGTGGGGAACCACACAGATACTTGTGAATAGTACTCGAATGCATGCAATCAGCAATATATTCGCCAAAATAGACAAGTGTGCCTTTGAGACCGAAAGGAACTTCTGTCTGGGTTGCAAAGCGGGGTCTGAGGGTATATCACGCAAGCACAAAGGTTATTATAGATTTGCCAGTGCCTTTACTTGAGAAAGTGGGTTGCCCTCCCCGATACCATAACGAATACAGTGCAGCCTACCAATGCTGCCATGACACGACTACCCACCAATCTTGTGAGAAAAAAAATAAAATTGCTGTGGTGCGGAAAAAGAGGCGACCTGTAAGGCTGTTGAAGAAAGCCTCGCGTGTGCCCCGATTCTGGCTCTTCCGCATCCGGATTGAGCATTCCATGTCGTCTATGACGTAACAATCCGTCGTGACGTCTATTTAAAAATCTCAAACGGATTGGTATAATGGTTTTAGGACCTGTAACATTTAATATTAGACGGAATTCGTGTGGTAGATTGAAAATTCACCGTCGATAATTTTATACAATTGTTTGTCGGATGGGAAGTTGTTGGTTATGTTCTTATTCACTGATTTATTTTGGGTTTACAAGTTCATAAGCTTATAAAGCTGCCATTAAAGCAACGCTTTGGCCTTTGTTTGTCATATGCAGTGCTCCACACTAAGCAGAAACCAACGATTATGAGCGAGCGATTGCGTTGAAGTCCTCCTGAACTTAAAGCAATAGAAAAGAGCGATTTCTTTCACGAAAAGAAGCTAGTTGCATTAAAGTGTGCTCTTGTCATGTTCAAGGTGAACCTTCTTAGCTCTACGCCATTTTTTGACTGATATAGATCATGTGTTGTTGCGTACAGCGAAGTCGTTAGCACATCTCTCATAGAAAATGGCAAAATTGTCATCTCTCTATGCTGATTATACTTGAGGTAAGGTGTAAGCCAGCCGTGCTAAGGGTGGTGGCGGATGCGCGCTCGGGCGGTCTGACTACGAGTTTCTGCATGTCACAACAGTGGCGTCAAAACTTTACAAGGCGATACGTATACTTTACGGGTCAGACGCAACACATGTTGCGTTGGGATTAAGAACCCAGAGGATGCCTGATCGATTTTTGTGTTTGAAGGCATGTTTTGCTAACCATTACTTCCATGTTTTGTTTTTCATCACCGACTTACATCATACACGGCGTATAGTGGAGCCATATGACGAGGATCTCAAATACAGAAAATTATACAGGGTAATGATGCCTTTACCGTGGCCATCTCGAAACATACTGCTTCCTGCGCGCTATGAAGTGGAAGCCAAGATTAATGAGTGGGAAAACACTTAAGCGCGTAGTCTTAAAGTCGAACTTACGACGCATGCATCGGCGTCCTTAGCCTTCCTGCAGAGTGTTCCGTCAATAAAATTGACTTTTTTGGGCTTCCGAAAGATCGGTAATATCAGTATTGTCGTCTTTGCGGACCGCTTGGACTATACGACTCATTTAATCATGCCAGGGGCACCTTCATAGATGAGGATACAGCTATATACTTCTTTGACATTTTTTGCCAACATGGCTGGGTTGTAGTCATTTATGTCGGAAAGAGATCCGAGCTGAACAGAAAAGCCTTGGTAAAGCTGGTTTGGATTAAGGTGGCGCTTGGCTCTACAGGTGTTACCATACATAAAGGCTTGTAAGCCTCTCTTTCTTTAACGCCCCAACGAATTAGCTGTGCTCTTAGTAGGGAAGGGCTGTCAATCAAGTTTGACCTGCTATTATTAGCTCGGCTGCACTTTTTAGCAGAATCACTGATTCTATATAACGAGATTGTAACGGGGTTACACGAACCCTAATAACAGGGGTATGTGCGTGTCACACGAGATGTGCATTATGTGGCCACACACCCAAACAAGAATACGGGACATGACTAGGTAGCCAGTAGTTATGCATGTATTTAGATTTTATTATATATATTAAGTATATTTAGGAAAATCTAAACTTTTAACATTAAGATAAAAATATAAATAAAAAACTGTTTGATTTTGAACATTATTGTTCGTTTGCCTTGGTTAAGGCATTAAGTACTTTTAGAGGCAGCGGATCGCAATCCGCTGCACTAGTACTTGGTTCTTGTTACGAAGGAAAGGTCGGTGACTCAATGACGCTTCCTCAAGCGTAAAGCTACGGCAGCCCCACTGCATTTGGTAGCACTTGTAGTCAATCTAAACATGAGTCGTTTCGACTGATCCTCTGTGAAAATGGAGAAATTTTCCTCTTTGCCCCAGGGCATGCAGGACGGGCTTAATAAGCTGATGTCCTTCCTTGGCCCCGAGGGCGTGCAACACCTTGTGGCACAAAGCCCCGAGGCTATCGGTGCGCA